CTTAAAGTCAATCTCTGATGTAATGGTATGAGAGGGAGCTTCGGTGGCTGTGGAGGAGGCGAGTCGACGGCTGCTGGGCTCTGCGATGCTGCCCTAAGCGCACAACCCTCTTTATCTCGAGGAGAAAGAAGGATCAATAGGCGGTATTGAGCCCGGGAAGGCTCGATTAGGAAGCCGGTGATTACTGCCATTTGTTGAAGAATCAACCATACATTGAATTTCTGGATGTTGAACAACTGCTTCATCTTCCAGAAGATGTCATTGGAGCAAATTATTGGTATGGGTGACTCAAACCTGCTGTCTCATGAGTTGCGTCTGCCGCTATATCGAGTTCATCGCTGCATAAAAAAGCATAGATCATCTAAGTTGATAGGTTAAGGATTTGTTCTTATGAATGCTTTGAATGAGTGAGTTTTAGGCTGCTGATGAACCATATGATTTTATTCATTTTTAAGTTGAAAATTACGAGATCGATTGATGGATTGAAGTCATGGAGTGATTGTTTGCCAGATTTTAGCACAACAATTCAAATTGAGTAAATTAGGGAGAAGAGGTGAGGAAATTGTAGAATATAAATTGGCTGCCGATTTCTTATTGATTGGCATCCATATGTTGTCATTTGGATTAGGAACAATGTAAACGGATTCATCAATGAATAATGTTGCCGAAGCAGATCAGCATTGCCTTTTTTTCAGTCCTAGTAATAATTACAGATATGGTAGAATGCAGGAATTCAGTTACAGATCATTGATTCAGATTATTCTGATATTCATCGAAGGTGGAGGGCAAAAGGAAGAAGGCGAAAGATCAGTCAAAGAAGAAGAAGTGGTTATGTGCAAATATGGCTTAGTGTTGCTTATCACTTTCTTGTTACTTACCAAGTGTTGCTTATCAGTTTCATGGCGACATTCTTTGTTCTTATCTACGCTTGGTTCTAACAGCTTATCTAAGTGCTCTCAGGGTCCAACTCAAGCGATTCCTAAGGATACTCTGTCATGAGGGTAAAATGATTATTATTGTATTATATAAATCAGTATTGATGAGATTTTATCTTATGTTTTTATTTATACCAAGGGCCTCTTTTATTGCTGGCTGAAAGACTTTGGTCATCTTTATGGCCTTTAAAGAAAATATTATGTATTGAGTCTGGATGCAATGTACAGCATTGGTGTGCCCATACTATTGTACAACATGTGTACAAAATTATATAATATTGTTGTAGATGAAATGCAGATGCATCTGAATTTCACACGTAATATTTTCTCCCTTATTAATTGATAACATTTTAGAGACTTCCACGTGCTAAACTTCACAAAGATCACCTGCTGACGGCTCTTCCACCAATTGACCAGATCAATGATAATTATTATTATTTTTCTCAAATTTTAATTGACATATGCCACCTTGAATTTGTTGTAGAATGTTAACATATCTATATTATCACATGAATCATATACTTACGACGACGACGACGACAATAACAACAACAATAAAGCCTTAGTCCCACTACGTGGGGTCAGCTACATAAATCCTTTTTCTCCATTGTGTCCTATTTAGTGTCATATTTTCATTTAGTTCTAACAAATTAAGATCATGTTTTTATACAATAAGCTCAAGTCTTCCTAGGTCTACCTCTGCCTTTTATAAACATAATTTGAATCTAAACATAATTTGAATCTACTCTCATAATCGGATCATCAGATGGTCGATGTTTAGTGTGACCGCCTCTCTCTATTTTTTTTCTGCCACTGGAGCTACACCAACCTTATCATGTATATTCATTTCGCATTTTTTCTCTAAGTGTAAAGCTACTCATCCACCTAATCATGCTTATCTCGGAAACACTTAACTTAGTATTCTGCTTCTCTTTTAAAGGCCAACATCAGGACCATAGAGCATTGCAAGTCTCACCACTATCTTATAAAATTTTCCTTTCAGTCTAAACGGTACTTTTCCATCACACAAAAGACCTAAAGCATTCTTCCACTTCAACCAACCAACTTAAATTCTACTATTAACATCACCATCTATATCACCATCGCTTTGAACAACTGACCCGATATATCTAAATCGACATCTAAAGCGTTCACGCCTTTTAATAATTTGATCACCAAAAGTTACACTTATTTCACTAGAGCTACAACTACTAAAATTGCATTCCATGTATTCAGTTTTAGTTCTACTCAAATGAAAGTCTTTAGACTCCAACGTAGACCTCCGTAATTCAAGTTTTTCCTGGGCTTGTTCTCTCGTCTTATCCACGAGAAGGATATCATCAGCAAAAAGCATACACCAAGGTACATCCTCCTGTAAATGTCCATTAAGTCCATCCATGACTAAAGCAAAAAAATATGGGCTTAAAGTCAATCTCTGATGTAATCCAACAAAAATAGGAAAATATTTGGTCAATCTTCTTTTAGTTCGAACACAAGTACTAGCTCTAGTACACATATCTTAAATGACTTGAATATAAGTCATATTAACACCTTTCTTCTCAAGAACTATCCAAAGGAAATTTGATGGAGCCTTATCGTAAGCTTTTTCTAAATCAATAAAAATCAAATGTAGATCTTCTTTATTTTCTGTGAATTTTTCCATTAAACCTCTCAGTAAATGTATAACTTTCATAGTAGACCTGCCCGACATAAATCCAAATTGATTATGAGAAATGTTTGTAATACGTCTTAACTTAAGTTCAATTACTCTCTCCCATAATTTTAAAGTATGACACACTGATAACTCTATAATTTGCACACTCTCGTGCATCCCCTTTATTCTTAAAAATGGGAACAAAATAATGTTCCTCCACTCCTCAGATATTATTTTAGTTTTTAAAATGATATTAAAGAGTTTAGTAAACTAAGAAACTCTCAAATCTCCTATATTTTTCCACACTTCAATTAGGATATCATCAGGTCCTACAGACGTTCCACCCTTGGTTATTTTTCAAACTCTTATCTATAATTACATTTATACCATTTTCTAGTGCAACTCTTATCAGAATACCAAAGTTTAAAACCTAAGTTATCAATCTCCATAACCTTTTCTCCAACTCATTTAGTTTCTTGAATACATAAGATATTAATCTTTCTATGAATCATAATATCAATTAATTCCATTAATTTATCATTGAGAGTACATATATCTCAAGATTCTATCCTAATATTATTTTCATGGACTAACTTCTTTACCCGCATCCGTTCGTGATGTAAGAACACTTACATATTTGACACTACACCCGGACACCAGTGTAGCATCCCTTGCACACTTTTCACTGCATTCAGGTCAAACAGCGTGTCACTTCCAGAGAACGCCCTAACACTTATCCATATACTTACAATAAGAATTTTTTATAATATTTGTTATGATGTGGCGGAATAAATGCAAAATATGATCTTGAAATTTTTGATATGTTCAGCCTATATTAAATGCATTACAAATATATAATTAAAACAAATAAAATATTAGTTTCAATGGAGTTGCAAAAACAATTTTGTATTTTAAAATTACAAGCATTTCAAATACTCCATGTTTCTTAAAAAAATAACAAACGGCAGCTTTAGCTAGCCTCCCGATTTCTTGGTTAGAATTTTTTAGCTTCTTAAAATATCACAAATACATGTACACCGAATAAAATAAAATTGCATTCTATCTTGCTTTTTAGCACTAGAAAATTTCAGAATAAACGCATAATAAGCTCTACTCAATAATTATTTCTGGCACTTGAATCATTCCATTTCCACAGCAGGTCTCTCTTCTTGAACACTCCTTCCTGTAACTCCTACAACATCCCCCATATTCCCTGCGCTTAGAAGCTGGCAAATTCGAGCATTCATGCCTCCTGTGGCACTCCTCCCCCTCACCTTCACAGCAATTATCAGTATTTTTCTTTTCAGAGCTGTTAGATTCTGTTGAAGCTTTGAAGTTGGCCTCAGCTCCCATGGTTTGATGAGCACAAGTGTTACAGCAGTTTTTAGTTGTATTTAGCTTTAAGTTACAGTTAATCTCTTGTTCATAATGCCTGTGAGTGGATTTTTTTTCATGCCTTGCTGATTCGTGATGAGAATGGACTCCGTGATTTGTTTGTCTGCTTGAATTCCCTTCACATGAACCATGTTCCTTCTGTTCTTCATGAATACATGGTGAAATCAAATCCTCGCTATCTGCTTTACTTTTGTGAAAGTGTAATTCATGACAAGGAACTGTGTGTTCAATCGTTCTGCTAGAATGATTTCCGCATGAGTCGTCTTTTCTGAGGGAATCCTCTTTACAATTTATGACAATCAAGTGCTCATCTCTTCCATTTTTACTGCAAATCACCTTTTCTTGGCAGCACTGTGTAGCTGATTCTGCTTGATGCTCTTTACTTTTACAGCATGGTTTTTTCTCTTCTGCACCCGTACTCTTATGGCAAGGAACTGTGTGTTCAATCACTCTGCTTGAATGATTTCCACATGAGTCACCTTCTCTATGGGAATCCTCTTCATAATTCATCGCAATAAAGTGCTCATCTCTTCCATTTTCTCTGCAAATCGCTTTTTCTTGGCAGCACTGTGCAGCTGATTCTGGTTGACGCTCTTTACTTTTACAGCATGGTTTCTTCTCTTCTGCACCCTTACTCTTATGGTAAGGAACTGTGTGGTTAATCGCCCTGTTTGAATGATTTCCACATGAGTCATCTTCTCTATGGGAATCCTCTTCACAATTCATGGCAATAAAGTGCACCTCTCTTCCATTTTCTCTGCAAATCGCTTTTCCCTGGCAGCACTGTGCAGCTGATTCTGGTTGACTTTCTTTACTTTTACAGCATGGTTTCTTCTCTTCTGCATCCCTATTCTTATGGCAGCCATGACTACCATGACAACTTACAGACTTTGGTCCACACGAACCATTGGAGCACTTATCACTGCACACTACTCTTTGGTGATGCGATCCTCGACAACAATTTTTCACTTTCTTCTTGTTCGTAGGCAGTAATGTCATGCTGTTTAAAATGACAATTAGACATGTTCCAACATCAGCTAATACTGCTGCCCAGAGTAATGGATGGCCTCCAATGGCTAATCCCAGGATGCCAATCTTTGTGAATAGAGAGAAGATGATATTTACTATAATCTTTTGTTTTGTCCTCTTGGCAAGCCGAATGGCTTTTGGAATTTTAAGAATGTCATTTGACATTAGGGTTACGTGACTGGTTTCGATCGCAACTGCGGAACCTGATACACCCATTGAGATCCCTACATTGGCCATGGCTAACGCAGGTGCATCATTCATGCCATCTCCTACCATTGTTGTTGAACCTTTCTTTGTCTTGAGATCACTGATGATTTTTACTTTGTCTTCTGGTAATAGTTCTGCGTGTATTTCTTCAATAATATTGCCCAACTGAAAAATTGTTGCAAACATTTGAAACTCACATAATTTAAATTTTGATGTTAAGCTGAATCATCTATTATGTTCATTAGTTGAGCTGAATAAAGGTTGCTTGAAGTAGTTCAATTTTCTTCTATGTTTAATGTACCAACAATTTTTTTTGGTTGTTTTGCCGCTGGGGCATACACACACATAGCACACATATCTAATGTATTTACATATCTCACGCCTAATCTTTCAGATTTACACACATAGCTCTTAAAATCTTTAGTATCACATCAAAAATAGCAATTTTATCATTTTTTTAAAAGTGAAATACACGCTATGCATATAAATATCAAAGTTCAGATGAGAGATATGTAAATACATCAGAATTGTGTGATAGATATGTAAATGTCCCTCGGTATAATTATTAACTGAATAAAGTATGATGATAATAAACCAAAAAAGATGTTCCCTCTAAGCTTTAATTACCTGTTTTTGAGACTGCCTGGCTGCTGCAGTGGAATCTCCAGTAAGCATTGCAGTTTTAATGCCCAAGGACTTCAGCTCTTCTATAGCCTCCTTCGCGCCAGTCCGACAGGTGTCAGAGAGGCTAAAAATCCCGATGGGCATGGCACCTAAGAATACATAACCCACTGTAACAGCTTCCTTCATGTCTTCCGCATCCGGGGCTGGAGGAGAAAACCACATCAAATTATGAGTCTAGTCACTATGTGAAGAAGCATATAGATAGATTTGCAGTTGTTCCTACCTCTTGCACATCCAGCTCTCATTGCAATTCTTTTGTTTCCAATGTAAATTTTCTTCCCATTTATTTCACCAGAAACCCCTTCACCAGGGTAAATCTGAAAGTCATTTACATTCTCTGCCTTTGGTTCAATGGACCTGATCCTCGCATAGTCGACCAGTGCAGACGCCATCGGATGGCTTGATTTGCTCTCCAAACTTGAAATCCTGAACCATTAGTCTCATCAAATATAAATAAAACTTTTGACTTCATTTTCGTTGTTTCAACTCATGTAACACTACATGAAAAAAGTGTCAAAATAGTCTCATTGCTATTTACATTGAGTCATTTTAGTACCAGACTTTATAAAAATACAAAATCAGTCCTTGAGAGACCTGTTTTAGCCCAAATTAAAAGTGTCCGAGCACTAAATTTAAAAATTGTCGTTAAACTGAACCTCTAAAAAGAGTAAGGGGACTATTTTGACACTTTTCTCGACACTACGCTAACTTAGCTGATAAACCAATAAATCTTACCAGGAAAGAAGCATGTCCATGGTAATTTCAGGGCTTAATGAACGAAGCTGAACGACAGAAAATTCTCCTGTTGTTATGGTCCCAGTCTTGTCAAAAGCCATAACTTTAGTTCTTGCTAGTTCTTCAAGAACATCTCCTCCTTTGACAAGAAGGCCCGTTCTGGCTGCTTTCAAAAGGGCGCAGAATGTGGCAACGGGTGTGGAAAGCACAAGAGCACATGGGCATGCACTCACAAGAAGCACAAGTGCTAACTGAAACCAATGCTTCTGATTGTGAGCCCTTGCTATTATTGGGAACAGTGCAACTCCTGCTGCAATGATCACCACAGCTGCATGTGACAAATGCTGACTTTAGTAAATGGAGGTTTGGGTAAAGTTTCCCATTTGCATAAAAATTCATAAGAACTTGATGAATTCATCTCTATCTATAAAGAACCTGCTTAGCAATTCATGGCTAACCTGGAGTGTAATATTTAGCACAGGAATCTATCATTCTCTGTGTCTTAGACCTGTTGTTTTGTGCCTCTTCCACCAGCCTTGCCATCTTAGAAACAGCAGAATGTTCAGACAAAGCTGTAGTCTTCACACTAATGTACCCTGTAATTATCTCATAATTAAAAAGAAAAAAAAACATTTCAAACTGAAAGTAAAGTGTCAGAACTATAGGTATAGGAGTACCTTACCATCTATATTAAGAGTTCCAGCCCAAACGAAGGACTCTGGCTGCTTGGTGACAGGGAAGGATTCACCAGTGAGGCTCTTCTCATCAACCTCACTTCTTCCTTCTACCACAATCCCATCAATGGGAATCACTTCTCCAGCCTTAACAGCAAGTATGGTGTCTACCTTCACATCTTTAGCATCGACCACTTGGCCTGTTTCAGCCAGAACAGCCTTTTGAGGAGCCAGATTCATCAGCAATGTCATTCCTGTAGATACCTGAAAAGGTAAAATATCGGTATGTTATTTCTATGTATGATAAGATGTAATAATGAGATGGATCTAATCTTATTACACGGTTAGTGAATTCGCCTGCTTTCTCGTGATTTCATGTCTTATATGTTTTTTTTGTCATGCTTATGCTAATGAATTTGCAATAGTTTAATTGTATTTGAGTAAGTGTCAAAATAGTCACTGACTATTTACATCGGGTTGTTTTAGTCCTAGAGTTTATATGAGTATCAAATTAATCTCAGACTTGTTCTATTTAAAAAAAAAAAATTAATCTCATACTCTTTAAATTGGAGTTGAAAATAGTGCTTATGAAATGACTATTAAAGCACATTTATTGAAGAAATTTTTTTTATTTTTTTATTCAATTTCCCTATACAAATACCTACATATTTAACTTAGAATGTTCAACTTTATGGAAAGGAAAGTGTAGAAATATTGGAATAAATCAACACATCTTATTGATAGAAAGAGGGATATATAAACTCAATTATGATGAGCACTCATAAGGAAAGAAATAAAAAACCAAAAGAAAGGAAAAAAATAATAGAAATAAAAATAGGATAAAGAGAAGTAAGAAAATAAATAACAATAAATAAAAAAAATCTGCATATTAATAACGATTAGGGATAATCATTATTATTTTAATATTTTAATACTCCATTTCAAATTGAAAAATAGATGTCAATCATGTTCAACTTTGATTTGAAGTCATCAAACAAAGGTCGAGAAAGGTTTTTTTTTTGTGAGGATATGTGCTAGTTGGTCATTGGAGGTCACAAAAGGAATACAAGTTTTTCCATACTCGAGTTTTTCTTTGATTGTTTGTCAATCTCCACATGTTTTGTATGATCATGTTGGACCGGGTTTTGGGCAATGTTAATGATGATTTTATTATCACAGAATAACTGCAAGGGGTCGAAGGTCCACATATGGAGTTCGCGGAGCAAGATGCGTAACCAGAGAGCTTCACAGATCCTTAAGGATATGGATCAGAATTCAGATTAAGGACTGCTCCAAGAAACCACCAATTGTTTTTTGCTTTTCAATGTGACTAGATTTTTCACATAAATGAGCAGTACCCAGAGGTAGATCATCGATCATGGACTAATCTGACCCAATCAGCATATGTATAAATAGCAATAGAATGAGAGATGTGACGCGAGAAAAATAAACTCGAGCCCGACATGGCTTTTAAATAAGGGAGAATCTAGGGGACAACGTGGAGATGGTGCTCATATGGTTCATGCTTTAATTAACTTACTATATCAACCGCTTGACATATTTTGGGGTTTGTATAGGCGAGGTAGATGAGTTTCCTTACAAAATGCTGGTAGCGAGTCTTGTTAACAAGAACTGCATTGGAAATACCAGATAATTTTTCATTGGGATCTATTGGGACAACCACCGGTTTGCACAGAAGCAGATTATTATTTTCTAACAGATCAATCACATAATTGCGTTGAGACAGGCAAATGCTCCAAGATGACCAAGCAACTTTCATGCCTAAAAAGTATCACAGTCCTTGATCTCTATTTTGCCTTTTGAATCTTCTTAGACACCACATATAATTAGCTGAAGTTTTCTACCTTCGAGTAGAACTAACGGATTGTCGTCTAGAAGGCACTAGGGGAAGGAAGAAACATATATGAACGGTCAATCGACAGTTCCATGAAGTTGATCAGCCACCACATGACTATGGAGTTCTCCATTTCTCAAGCTTCATATGTCGGGTCAGTATTTAGAGATTCACAGATCATACATGTGAGATGACTGAATTTCCCGTGTCCTTTGATGAATAAGGACCCCGCTTGAGACCATTGGAGAAAGTTATTGTCGTTTAGTTTGTGAGTTATGATCAAGAAGTTCATGTTGGTTTACAGTACTCTGATATGAACCAAAATTGGAGTCAAACCTCTGGTGAAATCAAGAACGCTTTCCAATGATGACTTAGTGTTAAAGTAGTACGCCATGATTGCGGCTAACCCAAAAGAAATTTGGTTGGGATTCCAAGACATCATCGAATTTCAACTGTAAGTCAACGGCTGTTGGATACAAAAAAAAAGGGTAATTCGGACAACTGCCGGAGAGAGACCAGCCACCAGAGAAAACAGTACGAAGGACCTACAAGAACGGCCGGCGAGAGCCGGTGGTTGCCAAGGAGGCCGACGGTTGTAGGGAACAACATGGAGGGCCGGCGGCTGCAGACTTTAGCTGGAAGGGTTAGAGGCTACAATTCCTACTTTAAACTATACAGGGAAGGTCAGCAATGGCTATGATCTAGGATTAAATCCCAGCTCTAATATCATATTAAAATGTTGGAGTAAAGCATCATATCTTATTGACACAGAGAGATGTATATAAATCCAATTACAAGCGGTGCTCATAAGGTAAGAAATAAAAACAAGAAAAAAAAAAAAAAGAGAAATATGAAAGTAAATAACAGCAAATAAAAGCCCTGGAATAGCCGTTATTATTTTAATATCACAATAGAAAGCACCTTTTGGCCTGCTATGGATTCAAGCCATTCAGCCATGGTGAAGAGGAAAACTATGAAGCCAGCTTCTGAGTAGTCCCTCAGCGCAACTGCTCCTCCCACTGCCAATAAAAAAATAGATATTTTACTTAACAGCATAAATATAATTACTAATTATCAGATAAAAATCTCATTAGGAAAAGCGTGCGAAAGTGAAATACATTTATTTTTTTCACCATTATTAGAATGTTGAGAGCAACACTGATAATGCCTTATTGTCTCTTTTGAATATTTATCAATAAAGAAATAGACCAGATTCCGCCCATCAAAATTACCTAATCAAATTCTTTAATTGTTAATTAATGTCTGCCATTATTAATTTTTGTAAATATGTGTTTTGATATTGGTGAATGAAAATTTCAAAAATGAGTGTTGTTCATTTGTAATAGAAATATTTGCGTATGTAAGACGTCCGCAGTGCTGCCTACGTCAGGTAGGTTACAAGGAGGGTATTGAGGGTTATATCCTCGTTATACCCCATGTAACCTTCTTGTAACCTGACTGTAAGTTAGAAATATATGAAAACAGAAACGTGGAATTTACTAGTTACAGGTAGGTTACAGGGAAGTTACAGGAGATATAACGCGGATATAACCCCCAATAACCTCTCTGTAACCTACATGCGTACGTCTTAGGCACTCAAATATTTCTCCATTTGTAAACAGCAAGCTTTGGCTGGTCGGTATGTAAAGGGCATTTACATACATACCCCCCAATTCTTATATATTTACAAATCTAACACCAAAACTTTGTTTTATTCATAAAACAAAACTTATACATGTACCTGCAATCAACATGAGGATGTTGATGTCAAGAGTATATCTTCGAATGGCAGCAAGGCTTCTGAGGAGGATTTGCGGAAGGCCAATCACAACTGCTGAAAGAGCGAGCCATTTAAGCGGTCTGTAGAACCTCTGGAATAAGGAAATAAGAAGCAGAATCCCGCAGGCCAATATGTAAGGACTCGGCCATTTATTCGCCATCTTGTCCGTCCCATATGTTCTTATACTCGCCTCCAATCTTGCTTTATTTAATTCTTTCGCTACAAAAAATAAATTAATTAATTATTAAATTTTGTGGATTTTAATGATACATATAATGTTGATGGAGCAACGGCTCCCATATATTCGTCCAAGTCAGTAAATTAAACGAGCGATGTGCAAAATCCTTTGCAAAAAATTAAACGAGCAACGGCTCCCATGTATTCATATCTAACTCTTGAATGCTATTTGTTCCAATTATACCATCTAAAGCTTTCATATCATATTAAAAATATACGATTTTAATTTCTTAAAAGCGAAATATGTTCTGCATGCATGAGCGATATGTATGTAAATTGAAGTTTAGATCTTAAATATACAAATACAAGGGAAATTAAGTGGTATGCATGTAAATTTTCCTTTTACTTTTACTTTAGGGGTCTGTTCATAAATACATAAGAATGATGTGGTATGTATGTAAATTTCAATAAAAAAAATGAGTGGCTTCCGAGAAAGCTGTGCCGTTCTGTAATTTGCATATGTGAACTTCCCAAGGCGAGACAACGCTGAAAACATGGAAAATAGGAACATATGCAAATTTATTTTACTAAAATACCTGTTTTTGCGTATAAATAAAAGAAAATATCAAATAGTAAGAAAATTCCAAGTGAACTAATGAATTTTTAAATTTACAGAAAAAAGCCTTATTGTCTTGATCGACAGCATTACAGCAAAACAGAACACAATTTAAGCAAAACAGAACACAAATTAAAAAAAAAAAAAAAATCAAGTGAAATCCAACATCTAAAATTCGATTAAGTAAATTCAAAATTCTATTTTTGTATCAAATTTCTGTTTTAAAAGTCGGAAAATTTCATAAAAACAGATAAAATACCTGTTTTTGCGTATAAATAAAAGAAAATTGCAAATAGTAAGGAAATTCCAAGTGAACTAAACATAAATAATGAATTTTTAAATTTACAGAAAAAAGCCATCTTGTCTTGCATCAACAGCATTACAGCAAAACAGAACACAATTTAAGAAAATAAAAAAATAAAAAAAATCAAGTGAAATCCACAACATCTAAAATTAAATCCACAAAATCAAGCACAAATTTATATTGTAAATTCAAAATTCTATTTTTGTATCAAGTTTCTGCTTTAAAAGTCTGAAAATTTCATAAAAACAGAGAAAAATATAAAAAAGAAAATTACCAATCTGCATCTGAGAGATTCTGTTGGGGTCATGAAGAACTATAACAGTCTTTGAAGCAACAATCACAGAAATCTTTTGGATCCCATCTAAGGGTTTCAGAATATTCTCAATCAGAGGAATTTCAGACGAACAACAGAGCCCCAGCACATCAAAATAGCTCTTTTCAGTTCTGCTCTCATTCCCCATCTTCATTCTCCCCTGAACCCTTAATAAAAACAGAAAATATTAATCAAAATTACATTTTTTTATGTCATAAAAGAAAAAAAAAAGCAAAAAATAGAACTTGGAGATGAAACTTAACAAAAATACCTGCCTCAGAGAAGAGTGGAATAGAGGAAGAGTAGAAGGAAGTGGGAACTGCTCTATGCCTTCTATTGTGAAGGAATGGAGATTAGGAATTTCTACAAATGGAAGCGGAGCAGTTCCGCACTAAATTTTGTGAGAGGGTTTGTTTTATAAAAACGAAAATTATTATGGACTGTTTGGATAAAAGTGAGATAAAAACTTTAAAAAATTCAGTAAATTGATAATTTGTTTGGGTGCTTATTTCTAGATTTCATATATATTTGAGCGAGAAAATTTTTAATTTTAATTTAAATCTATATTTTTATTGTTCTGTTTAACTGAATCTAAACTGGAATTCAGTTTCCTATCGAAAATGGGGTAGCAGAGCCTGAAGTGTAATTTTCGCATTGTTGATGGCTTAGTTTGCAAAACTGAAAAAAACAAGGATGCCGTAAAGACTCAAAGACTCTGGGATCTTTGCCAATTTCCACAATGGCACAAAAAGCCGCGATTTAAAAGCATAAAAAAAGAGGGTTGTTTTCGTAAATCAATATCATTATATTTTAATTTTAACTTCCAATAGAAATAGGTAGGAAAAATATGGAGAAAGAAAAAGAAGAATTCAAAGATTATGACTCTTTCTATATATATATATGATTTCATTTTTTTTTATATAGTTATATTTAATCTTTAATTTATTGTAGAGTTTTTATGATACTTCAATTTAAAATATTTTTTTAAATATCCCTAATATGAAATTATTGGAATAAAATGCATCTTTTTCAGATATAGATGTTAATGAGATTTATGTAGAAGAATATTGTAAAAGTAAATGAGGAGAATTCAGATATGTATGTTAATCCTAAGGGGGAGTATGTACACATGAGAGAGAGAGAGAGAGAGAGTGAGAGAGAGAGAGCCTAAGGAGAGGGAAAG